CGATCCATTCATCCACATCTTCATTGTCTTTACCGTAGAACTTGGGAAGATCAGAAGGCTTGCTCTTGCTCCTAGGATGTTCGTTCGTGAAGGTACTGCTGGTACCGTGAGTACCTTCTCGATAGTCGCGAAGGCGACTGCCTTCTTGGTTGTAGAAGCGTGCGGAGTTGCGAGCTTCGTCTCGCTCCTGCTTCAGATGAGACATCTCGATTTCCATGTCTTTCAAGCGTTCAGCGAGAAGATTGGCTTCATCGTGGACGGACGTCGGAGGAGGATCAGCAGAGGGAAGGGCAAAGTCTCGGCTTTGCATAGGAGGTGTTGATAGACGTGGTAGATTATGTGGGCCTAAGTCATTCATAGGACTTATGGATCTGGGGACATTGCTGGTGACTGGATGATCTGGTTCATCGGTCTCAACAAGGAACGGATTGACCATGTTGCTGGTGGTCGTGATGGGCAGAGAGTTAGATCTCTCCCTGCGGTGCGTCTGTGAAGTCATCTCTGTCAACGGTGCCGTGGACCTCGGATCGGTCATGCCTGTCCTGTTTCGTAGAGCCATCGGCATATGTGATGTCGACTACTTCAGTGATGTGTTTAACTTCAACTGTTCGAACGGTTGTATAAGTGACAGTCAAGGTGACTGATTTAGCTGAAGTAGATGGTGCCTCTGTGATCTGATCTCTGGAATCCATGTACTATGGATGTAAGTAGTAACGATACTACCCTTTGTTGGAGTACCACGTGCGGGTTTTCTAGAGTACCGCGATTGGATTGACCAACTGACCGAACGTGGTCTGAATCAACTACGCTACGCTAGGGTGATTCGAGGAGGCTCGCTCCTTTACTGCAGGTGAGGTGTTTGTATAAGAGGTGTTGAACTTGAACAGGAATGTACAAGTAAAGAAGCTTCTGATAGAATAAATGAGACTATAAGACCTGTGTGATAAGGTAGTAGTCAGTAATGTTACGGGTCAAGGTTCTGACCCGACGCTGCGTCCAGCGATTTAGAGTGGTGACGGCAAATAGATTTGACAAGACAGTATATGTCTAGGTGGTAAGGTGTATAGGAAGAAATAGACTTGCCTAATATCCCAGACCGGGCCCCAAATTGTTGGGTACCAGCGATTTGCTCTTTACGCGCTTATTTGTACTTGTGATTTTTGATCGTAAATATCAAAATTCTTACAAGTCCGAATAAGCGCGTAAAGAGCAAATCGCTGGTACCCAACACAGATGGACACGCCTCCGTTAAACCTGCCCGCCCTTTTTGCAAATGTAAGTCAACTCTTGGCTCTTAGATCGGTAGTTGACCGTTAGCAAGATTATGATATCTTCTGACCATTATTCCCACCATAGTTACTCCGTCGTACATCCCGTCAAGCTCTCGGCCTTTTACACAAGCAGTATCACATCGCTCATTCTTGGATTGTCAATAAAAGCGTTGTTCCAGCCTGCACTGAAACGTTCTCGACCACTCTTGGATTGCCGTGTGCCCACAAACTGCTGCCCTACATTCAAAACGGCGTGGCGGTGCCGTTCGATGGCGAGATTATTCAGCCGTATTGTCATTTTCACAACAAAGCGGCGATGGAAGTATTAGCGAGGGAGATCGGGATTTACAAGTCACTTCCCGCCGGAGAAGATGTTTCAAACTCAAGCCAGGCGAGTTTAAATCTAGATCTTCCCATTCGCAACGATTACGGCAGCCTGGAAGCGGGGTATGAGCTTCCTTCTATCGTCGGTATGGAACCTATATTGGATCCTCCGAATCCAGCCAAGCGGAAACGTTCGGGGAATCGGGCGGGACCCTCTGAAGCGCCTGTTGAACGCATGATCCTCGGCGGTGAAGTACAATCTACCTCCTTGCAGCCAACGCAATTTGTACACTCTTCAGGCCGTATTCTCTCTGGTTTCGAACGATCTGCGGCGGTCCGCACTCGTATCGCAGGAACTCAGCAATCCAACTCGTCAGAGATTCAATACGCAAGGGCTAGCAGTCGCCTCAATCGTACAATCATCGTCGGCAGTTTCGACACCGCCTGAAAATCGAAAATGCGGTTATTGTAAAACAGTCGGACACAACAAAAGGACTTGTGAAAAACTGAAGCGAAAGAAGTTGGAGGAGGCGATAGCAGGAGCTCGGGATAGATCTGGATTGCCCGCGGTTAGGGATACTCAAGTCAGTCTCAATCCGTTTTCCACATTGGATGCTAATATAGAGATGCAGGCGCAGAATACACAGGGTGTGGAAGAAGTGGGGACAAGCCTTGGTAACGAGATTAGCAACGGTGTTGCTGAAGGACTGCGAACGATCACAGCAACGGATATGGGTAAGACTGACTGTCAATCAGGCAATGCTATGAGAGAAGGAGCGCTGATGTCGACATTGTGTGCTGGTTCTTTGGCAACTCGATCATGAAGCGGATATTGCAGCTCGAAATGCCCTGCCAGCGTTCCTGTTCCAGCCTCCACCTGTTCTTAGCCCACCTCCGGTATACAATCGAGCGTTGCTGGACGTCATTGACGAGGAAGAGCGCCGCGATGAAGCAAAAAGACGTCAAGAGGAAGAGAATGCCCGTTTGGGCTATGCCACCAACGGGTGAGCCATGTCGCTGCCCCATGCGCACTCTATCGCTGAAGTAACGTCCGTCCTCTCAGACTCGTAAGATTGCCGGCGGACGAAGCAACCTTCTCGAGTTTTCCGAGGTTGCAGCTGGTTGCCTCCAAGCAGGAGCGGCTTAAAGGTATCGTGTCCCGTTCGAATCATGCTCAACTGCGTGATTAGCTTACTAGAATTACTTGATGTTCCCATTGATGTCGAATGCAGCTATGTATCGCTCGGCAAATGTCTGTCCTGTAAAGGTATGCCGACGTTACGTGGCCAAACTTGGTTGAACATACTGGTGAGAGTAGCAAATACACTTTGAAAGCTGAATCTACCTGTCTGGAAGCAGGGTTGTGGCCACTATCTACCGGCGGTGATGTCTACCGAATTAGCCAAGAACTGGGCGAAGATGAAGACAAAGAGAAAGGGGGGTCGAGCGCAGGGCGCGCACATACGCGACATGTCATTTTGCTACCAGCATGAAGAGGAGTTGACTTGGATAGTGGGCGAGCATGCGGGGTACCCAAAAGTGCAGGATCCCCGAGATATTTCCACCCGTGTCATTGCTCTGGAGGAGGATTTGCTCAAGCGTTTTGAAAACGTGAACTTGTTGAAGGAAGTGACGGTGCTCAAGGAGGAGTTGGAGTTCTACCGCCGTGAAGGAATGAATTGGCAAGACCTGCAGTCGCTAAAGAATGATGAAGCTCGTAAGATACGGGCAGCCTGTGGATAGCAAGTTCTGTTTCTCTCTTGCCTTTTCCACTTGTCCGTTAGTCGCCTAATGTGTTTCATGTTTGATATGTAGTTTTGGTCCTGCCGGCGGTATCTATATCGGTAACGCACTCCAATTCATGATGGCAACGTCATTGAGCGGGCGCCTCCCTGTTGCCGATCTGCCTGCTCTCCCTGAAGACGATATTATCGAGCAGATCTTAAATCCGGAGGTAACGGTGCTACTAATCATGCAAGATATTGCAGCAATTGATTCCCGAGGTTCGACCGGTACATGGGATGCGGAGAGGAGAAAGCTCGCAGAGCAGATACGGGAGGAAAGTGAGAAATATGGGAGGGGAAGGTTTCCTCTTGATGACGATGTGGTATGGCGCAAACAATGGCTACCGGGTACATTTCCCAGAAATGGCTGAAGTAGTGTTAACGTCGACTAACTTGCCCCAATCGATAGGCTTCATGCGAACTCAGGCAGAAAGGATGAAGGCGAAGGACATTCAAGCGTCGAAGTATCCGTTGACACGCGATGTAAGAAGTGGTCGGGCTGATGATGAATAAAACACATGATGTAAGTGTCTGAATGCTGCTGCTACTTACGCTGGTTTGAAGATCACATAGCTGACAGTCACCATACAGCTGCCCGTTTTGAGTGTTGTACCGGCGTTATGTCATATAGGGCGACAAAGTTTGTAAATGATCACTTACAATGGTCAATGGTGGTGGTCGATGTAGTGTGACTGCAATGGCGATCAAAACCTGCGAATTGGGAACCGTGGTGGACGGTGAAACCACGAGATCGATGTGAGGATGAGGTGCTAAGAGACGACTGGGGACGATGAGGTTCAGTGCCTGAGCGAGGTCAGGTAACGGTTGGGAATCATCAATGCGATATCTACCGAGTGGGATAGGTGACAGCTTATTCAGTATACGAACAGGTATTTGAATCGTAGAAATCACTAACTTGAAAAGTAGCGGGGATTTGAAAAAAAAATGACATAGGGTCCCCCCTAGGCCCCTACCCTATGCATTGACGACACGAATCATTTCAAACAGAAACCCAACCCACTCCTCCCTTCCTCCGTCTTCTCCACTACCCACCACCCTCCCTATCTCCGACTCACAACCCCTCGCGTCACACCTTTCTAATGCCATGAAGTCGCCTAAAGAAACGTAGAGGTGAAAAGAAGTGGTGAACGATGTGGATGCTGAACGAGCTGGAGGTTGCAGCCCTGCTGATGCCGAATCGTGAGCCTCGGAGGTTGCGTGAATGGAAGAAGTAGATAGCTGAAGGATCACTTAGATATGTGTCAAGCTAGGTAAATGTTAAGAACTGATGCAGAGAATGCATCCCTACCTTGCCGCATTCAAGGTTCGACTCATGATCGGAGAGCACAACCACGTCATTTAGTTCGTTCTCGGCGACTAGAACTGACTGTTGTCTCCCTAGTGTTGTCCCCCTAAAGATTCCTGTTGTCTCCATAAAGTTGACCTACGAGTATGAATTTATAAGAATTGTTTGATGGCACTGTGAATCACTGTGATTTATCACAAATTTCAGTACTTAAACGCGCGGCACTGTCGATTTGGAGCGTATGACACCATGAAATCGATGGTTTTTCAAAGGACTAGTTGGGCGCCCCATAGCTTCAGATCCCAAACAAAAAACTGATCCGTGAGGGGATCGAACCCTCGACCTTACGCTGTACTATCCAGCTGGATATTAGGCGTATGCTCTACCGACTAAGCTAACCGACCCGATTGTTGTTAACGGCTAGCACAACAATGTCGTATCCCGAAATTTACATGATCTACCACGTTTTCCAGACAATGACACACATTTTGAAGTTGACTACTTCTGAAACCCTGTAAAACTTTTCAGACGTAGAGTCACGCAACCTTGGTAGGGCGCCTCGCCCATGGCCGGACCCCTTCCTATAGCCGCCGTACAGTATGGACTGAACTGATCGGAGAACCTAAGTGTACCTGGACAGCGATGCAATGGTAGAGTAATAACGGCAGAATATAAATATGCCTCGAGATAGCTGTTCTCCGTTCGACATGCCATCCGCTTAGATATCCATGCTCTCCACTGGCGTGATACTATTGTTACAATTTCGTTTAAATAGTTACACCGCAATGTATAGATATAGTAATCATCGCTAACTCATACCGTATCGCATGTATATCCGACGTAATCTTACATGATCCTACAATCTTCCTTGACAGATAAAGAATACATAGCCTAAGAGACAACAGCACATCATTCGTTATTTAACAAAAAAGCGCAAGACAAACACTGCAAACGCTAAACTCACCTTGTCCACAACCTTTTCAATTTTCTTCCAGTCGCTTCGTCGTTGAATAAACTCGTATACGCTATATTTGCGACTGGTCAGCTTGACGTATATGGCTTGCAGCGCAATTTGGAAACTTACTCTTCCGGTCGGAAAGTAGCACCGTACCGTGCTACGTCTCTTACAATCTGCGCCAGATCCTTTGCGTCGGCAACAATGTACACATGTCCTATCATTTTGAGATTTGAAAAGTCTTCCGTGATTCTCGGCTGTTTGAGGGAAGCAACGAAAGCGTAATATGCGTTGAGATCGGAAATCATCTGGAAACCCCCTTCAAGAGAGATGATTTGTCGCTTGATGTGCCGTTGGAGAATGCTGGCAAACATTGTATGTTTGTCAGCTTGGCTGGAGTGTCAGAGAAATGCAAATACTGACGCTTGTAAACGTATTCCAACCTCCTGGTAAAACACTTCCAGTACTTCTTTAGACGCGCTGCCTTTTAGTAGAGTGCAATGCAATTCCAAGCATTTGATTGCGTCCTCGCAACCTTTTGTAGGGCCTAATTCAAGATCTTGCCCAGCCGGAGGACAGTACTGGCCTGGTATAGTTTCCGTTTGAATGATGTGTTCCACCTGAAAGCAATAGCGACCAAGTCAGATCCGTAGAAATGCAAGGAGAGACTAAGTTGGCAAGAATACGAACCTGATTCATCAACACCTCGATACCCGCATTTAGGCCAGCCGCAACAGATTCGTCGAGCGTGCTCTCGAACTTCTTCTTCTGCTGCATGGCACCGTTCAAGAAATCCGTCTTGTCAATATATGCCGCCTAGAAATTCCAGTGGTGCCATCAGCAAATCGTTGGAGCTTGTGATAATAGGGGCTACCAGAACTCACCAATTCTTTATCAAAGTAGACCTGGACCATCGACTGAATAGTGTCACCAATATGTACCAGTTCGAAGAACTGCAGCAAGGGTGCCACACTCGTAGCATCGTCCCCCTTTTCTGGCTTGTATGTCCCCATCTGCTCGATAGCCCTGAGGTGCTCTGATAAGCAAAGCCGCAGTCTCAAGCCTAGCAGCACCCAATGCTCACTTTCGGAACCCAGGTGCTATATGCCTGTCGCCTACTGCCCGCAGAAGTAGCACGAAGACTTCCTCGATAGCGTCTTTTACTTTCCGTCCATATTTACCGGTATAATCTTTGAATGTCTCGATTCGCTTCAGTGACTCTCGATCGGCGTGAATAAGCTCGAGGATAATGTCGAGCGACAACAATAGCTGCATTTGGCCAAAGCGTGAGTCCGCTGTACTTGGTGTCGCCGTACTCGCTTGTAGGGATTCATTCTTCGAGGACGAAATGTCTGACTTTTCACTCGCCCAAACTTGATCCCCTTCCACCGGTTGTACCATAACGGATGGCAAAGGGCCTGGATCATCAGGTTGTCAGCCCATAAGACAAAAATGGGACAATGCTTTACACAGTTTAGCTCACCTTCCGTATGGGCGCTATCGTCGGTGACCAAGTCAGCATCGGTCTGGTCTAACGCCGTGGCCTCGACCACAGGGGCAGTAGCAGTACTATTCCCGCCCCATTTCTGGGGATTGAGCATCGATAAACCGTTCACGGCCGATGTTCCACCCGTGACGATCGCGTTAACGCCGTACGAAACAGTCAAAGGCACGATAGTCACAGGCAATAACAGCACATCCCGGAAACCAGCCAAAACATTGCGTTTGACCTGATCAGGATTGGAGGACGACAGAAAGGTTGAACGGGTTTCGGGCTTCAAGGCGCTGCCCGCGGAGGGTCCAGACTGAATTAGCGGTGCGGAGCTAAGTCGCCAGGCTTATGTATGTGTACGAGAGCTTCACAGAGAACATACCTGCTGATCCCAAGCAACGCATATGCTGTCCAAACTGCTCTTGACATGCTCAATTTCCTCCTCCAAATACTCGTCCATGTTTACTTCGAACATGTCATACCTAAAGCGAAAGATTAGTTGCTACTGCAATGAATTCAAAGAGTCTCCGCAATAACATACACCACTTGACCGAGCAGACGGCTGTAATCCAGTGAAACGCTAGCAACACCTTCCTCTGCCTCCTCAGCTCCATCCGGGATGAGATTCTTTGCGACATCCGCCATTTTTTCTACGACACGCCAAGATTCGACAAATGTTGCCGGTGTGGCTGTCAAGAATAACTCCTGTGATAACAGCCGACACTCGGATAACAGCGGATTGATATATTCCGCCACCTGCAGAAACAAGAGTGTTCTTTTCAGTTGACTTGGTACCGCAAGACCAAGTGGCCGAATTAATACTGACCACATCATTCGCCAAGCGATCGGTAAATTTGTAGATTACAATCAGTCCTGCCAATCCAGGGAATACTTTGGTGATCACTGCTCCGTCCTGATCGACAGCGGCGAGCACATGAGAAATAAAGTCGTTCATCGGCGTAAAGTCCAACATATGCGTCTTGGTACTCTGACTCTGCGCAACTTTGCTGTAGCGAAACGATGTTAGCTGGCTTGCGGATGATCATTAGCGCCAATATTACCTACACTATGTTCTTTGTCGAATCCCATTTACTGCCTTCATAGAATACTTCTCTTTTCTCGACCCATGCTCTTCCCAACTCCCATTCTGACTGGTCGTGAATGAACTCTTGAACAACCATGGCGTTGGAAGACCCGAATTTTGCGCCTGAAGTAAAGAGCGATTCCTTTGCGTGAGGCCGGTACCGTTTCTCACGCAGTTCAGTTTCCCTCGTCGTGCGATATACGTTCCAACTTGCTTCAGACACCATTCGTAGAGCAGCAGTAGCTGAATCGGAAGTGTTTATCGACTGAGCTGGACTAAAAGGCGAAATTGACGTGCTTTCCGCAAGCTTTTCTGCCCTGTCAAATGCATTAAGACAAACGGATTCGAATCGATCACATACTCCACCGAGCACCCTACGAAGCCATCCCCAATCCCTCGTTGGCTCCACAGCTGCACTGAGAAAGCTCAGCAAATCGGCGAGGACGGATGCCTGTGCGTCCAGTGGTGCCGGACCATTCTGCGTCGGCGGAAAGAGTAGGGAGAGAGCTTGTGATGCAGATATGGATGAAGTGATGGTGGACGAATTTGCTGTTGAGCAGGAACGGAGCACCTTGACATAGGGCGTGAGGCGTATGTGCTGTTCCTTGTAGACGTCATATGCGTGACAGCTCCCGTCTTTGCCAGTCGACGAAGGTCTACCGCTGGAGGGAGAGCTTAGAACAGCGGGATTGACTGCGAAAAAGCCGTTTGTCCGTTTCTGTAGAGTCGCTTTCTGAGGTGTTTTCTTCGATGTTGTCAGGGTCGACGGTAGAGGAACGTTGTTACCATCTTCGAAATCCATATCTAGCAGCGATACCCCATTATTCTTCTGCGACGGGACAGGCTTGTTAGTCTGTGTTGCGGCGGATCGCGGTGGAACAGTGGCAGATGTAAAATCTCCAAAGACATCGTCAAAGTCATCATCCGCTACACCTGTACCGCTTGAGGCATTCCTGTCGTTGATCGCAGATAGAGGTTGCGAAGCAAAGTCTCCAAAATCATCGTCATTCAGGTTGATGGGGGCAGCGGTCGCATGTGGTTGACCGTTTCTCGTGACTGATATCGAATCTATGGTGCACATCAGAGGTGAGCTGTATTCATGGCGTGTGGGCTAGAAAGGTGCACAAGAGCTTACGCTGTCTACGGCACTGGGCCTTGTCCTGCCCATCGTGTGCTACATTATCCAACAACCCCAGAACCACGCATCTCGCATTCCAGACTCTCTCGTCTGTTCGTACGATTCGAGCTAGAATTCTACACGTCCTCGCGACATTTGGGATATCAGGAACCGGTAAATAGTTCAAGATCCGTCTGAATACCGAGAGAGGCAGTAGACCAATGAGTGGATCCGAGGACGAGGAGGCCGCAGTCTGAAGAGGAGTGGGTTGGAGTATCTTTGGGCTGTACGAAGTGAATGCGGGCTGCACAAGTTGAAGCGGCCTTGGTTTGTGAGCTTGAGACGATCTCCACATAGTCAACGGAACTCGCACTCCCTGGCGGCGCTTGGAGCGGTGTTGGGTATATGGCAGCAGCAACTTGTGTACTTAGACAACTGCGGGCATTGGCGTATGGGTGTGGATGAAGTACGTATTTCGCGCTTGTGGTCCGCATTGTAGTGGTTGGCACGCAGGCGAGTGACGAGTGGAGACTAGTAGCAAGCTGGGTGGGTGGTTTCCCTGACAGATGGGATGCGGTTAGTGATCACATGAAAGAAGTAGAGCGATCGAGACGCGTAAGACGAAACCCCTATTGCTGATATCAGCGACAACACAAGCAGGTGTAAATTGATGAACAGCCCTTTAATAGCGAAGGACCTCTATTCGGCTACTTCATTAGATGCTCGTGCAAATCATATAGCGAACTCCAGTACGTA